TTTCTGTTATGTCCAGTTTTCGTAAAATTATGAGAAATAATTTTCGTCTATTTCCTTGTGAATTAAAAAATACGTATTTGGAATGATGTCATTCCTTATTTGCCGGTATTTAAAATGTGAACGATATTAAGTTTGTTTATTCTTGTTCGTCTAAATATCATCCCATGTCTGACAAAAGAATTTTGTTTACGTTAACGAAATAATTTATTTCGTATGTAGACGCTGTCCTTTCTTTAAGTGTTAAGTCAATTTATTTCGTCTTCTTATTGAGTGTTTGGCAATTTATTGCGTTTCAGAAATCAGCTGTTGTACGAAAAATATAGGTCAAATTTTTTCGTATCTTTAAAGTTTAATAGTCCAGGCAATGTGTGAAATTTTTTTAGCCCCGAAAAAGAAAATGTTTCTGATTTGACAGTCCGTGTGTTTTCGTGTTGTCTTTTGTTTTATAAGTAGAAGGAAGTAATAATACGATTTCGTTTGTCCATGGCTAAGGCCGATTTGTTGGTGACAAAGCGAAGTATTGTTATTTGCCTTATGTTTGTTATTTCCGTGTTTCCCCGTGTTTTCTTTGTTCCTATTCTGTTTTATAAGTATGTTGTTGTTTGTTTGTGTTTAAATGACTGCGGACACTAAATCCATTCGCCAATCTTACAATTTGAGGTGTAGTGTGTGTGTGTAGAGTAATTGTCTTGATACTTAGCAAAGTCGACGTCATTGTCTTTGCTAAGAGACGCTAATTGTATCCGAACGTCTGCGGTCCCTCCGGTGTGTACCGATCACACAAGGATAGAAATTATTTTCATTTATTAATTTTTTTAATAAACGAAAATTTCCACCCAGGTGGGATTCGAACTCACGACCTTTAGGTTTAAAGGCAGGCGCTCTTACCACTGAGCCACAGAGGGGGTGTGTTTTATAAGTAGGAGAAAATGATGATACAATTTCGTTTGTCTTTGGCTAAGGCCGTTTTGTTAGTGACAAAGCGGAGTATTGTTATTTTTCTTTTGTCTGTTAGTCTTGTGTTTCTCCCTAGTTCTTTTTTGTGTACACGTAGAAGAGAGTGATGATACGACTTCGTGTATTCCTGGCTAAGGCCGATTTGTTGAGGATACATAGCGAAAATATTGTGATGTTTTCTTATGTCTTTTAGTTTTGTTTCTTTGTGTGGTCAGATGTTGTAGTAGAGCTATGTGTTGGTGGTCTAAAATGTATTAGTTTGTGATTTGAGTATTGTGTTGTTGAAATATCACATAGGACGTACAGGCATGTGACCTGGATTTGTGTTTCCTTGGATATTTCTGTTGTTGTGTAAGACTGCGTAGCAGCATCCCCTTTCCGTGATATATTAGAAAGGATAAGCCTTTCTAAGTGTTGAAGTAAGACTATTGACCTAGTCTCAATAGCATTCCTTCTTGTTGTAGTGTTTGTGATGTAGTGTTGATGATTTGGTGGAAGCGGAGGTACAATTACTGGCATTGTCCATTGTGACGTTTTGATTTGCTGAGGTGAAAGTACCTGCCGCCGTTTATTGTAAAAATATTGTTTATGTCGATTGTGAGACCATGTTAGTGAAACATCTGAAGTATTTTTAGTACTACCGTTGAATGACCCACTTAGAATTCCCCAGTTTTATGTTGTGACCCTGTTCGAGTTTTGTTAAAGAATAGTGAACGTTTCTTTCTGATTTGTATGAAGATGTTGTATTCGATTATTATCCGTGAAATGATGAAGTTTATTTGTTCATGTTGCCCCTTCATTCCCTTCCCAAACTGTGTCTTTGACCTTATTAGTTGTCATAAGAGGAACGGCTAGGTCGATGAGTTTTGGATTCGTCCGCCAGGTGACCTGTTGAGCTTTTAAGGAAGATAAGCATTAGTTTTTGCCTTGTGTATATATATATATATATATATACTCTTCTTCTTCTTCTTCTTTACCCTTCTTGCCCTGCTTTTGAGATTTGTGTACCCAGTTGGAAGTTTTATTGTTGTTGACGGACTGTAATGATTTTTTTGTTCTTTTGGAAGATTATAGTGTTTCTTATGTTCCCTTGGAGATCTGTAATGATGTTTTTGTTTCTTTTGAAGTGTTGTCGTAACTTTTTTGTTTTCTTTGGAAGACTGTTACGAGTTTTTTTTGTTTCTTCAGGAAGTATTTAGTTTGAGACTGAACTGATTGTGTATTGATTATGGCTTGTATGCCATGTGCCCCTGTTCTTTCTTCTTTTCCAAGATTGTGTATTAGCATTTTGGATTTATTTTCTTCTTTTGTCCTTTTGGGAGTTTCCTGACTTGGAAATTTTTCGCTGTGTCGATCCCAGAGGATATTTCTATGGAACTATTGGCCATCCTGTTTTCTTCTTTTGTGTTGGTTTAATTTTCAACCAGTGGTTGAAAATTCATTGCTTGACTGTTATAGTCAAGTTTGTTATTTTTTGATATGGTTTTGGTTATCTATTATGTGGATAACCATAGCGAAGCTTGTCTAAGCTGTGTTGTTGGCCACCCGCCTTTGTTGAGCTGGAAGCACCCCTCTTTTCGCTCCCAGAAACTTCAACACTGGTCTGTTCCACGTTTTTGGTTAGGCTAGAGCCATTTTAGTAGAAATCTGCCATTGTGTCGTTGTGCTTAAGAGCCAACGAACTGTACCTGGTGCCGATTCGTCAAATCGAGCATCCAGTTTTATTTTGAATGTTATTATGTTAGAACCATAAACAGTTATGATGTGTAGTTTTGGTTATGATTTTTGTTTGTTGTTTTTTGTTCTGTTTGAGTTATTGAAGTCATTATGTGTTGTTGCAGTAGTTAAAAAATGCTACTGTTGTTCCAACCTGATTGTTGTTCGCCCTAAACGAAAACTTTTCCTGTTAGTCCAGTTTTCGCTCTTACGTGGGGGTATTGTAGCATTTTAAATTTGATTGATTCTTTGAAGTATATTTAAAGTCGCCTCGTATATGAAATCGTCTTAATAAAACGAAGAATGTTTTCTGTTTTTTAGTTCGTATCTTTCGAAAAGTGTTTTCAATCATTCTAACGTCGTAGAGTAATAAATCCATTTAATTGTTGTTTATTTTACTGCGGCGATTTCTTTTCATGTAAATGCGTTTCAAAGGATATCTACGTCGTTCGTTGGTTTTGCTATTTCAGCAGTTCGTTGATTTTCAGGTTAAGCGAACAAATTTTTAATTTCGTCACTATCGGTGGAGCCGCTGTCAAGGGCAGTTGGTTTCGTTTGTTTAGTCCGAATTTTCATCAAATTCGTAATGTTTTTTTTGTTATTAGTTTTTTTCATCAGAAGTATTGAAGTTTGGTAGCATGTGTAGTTACAATTTGAGGTTGGTTTATGATATTGACGGAAAAGTGCTTGGGTGGTATTCTTCAAGGAACCGGCAAATTTATATGTGGAGAAGTGAATATTATACTCAAATGTAATGTGTCAGTTTTTGTCTGAGTTAATCACCGATTTGGATCGTGCTGTGTTTTGAAGAGCTTTGTGTTTTGAGAAGTTTTGAAAAGCCAAGCTTTGAAGATTGCAGTTTAATTAACCCGAAGTCCGATGGTCCAGTGCCCAGCTTTCATCGTATATTTGTTGTCCCTGGTCATTCCAGACCATTTTGCAGCTTGTGAGAAGCATTTGTTTGTTTTGCAGTGTTTTTGAGTAAAGTTCCAGCCCCAAAACTTTTAAAGGAGATATAATATTCAGTGATATCAGGTACTCTTTTTTTTCGTAAACATTTTTTAAAGTAAAAATAGACAGTTTTCATCGATAATTGCTTTCATGACAAGTTACAAAATTTGTAATAAGTAAAATTATAATAATTAGGATTTGGCTGTCATAATAATTATTCTTATACACATAACTAACCATAAGTTTTGATATTTGTGTATTTTGTGACTGTTGAATATTTTTGTATTTCTCCTTATAACTGTTTGTGGTGACATAAATAAAGGTTAAATTTTGTTGTCTTAACTTTTTATTTATTTTTTTGAGCTAACCTTTATTGATTTTTATTTGAAAAAGATATGTTTTTTTATGTTGATTTTTTTTTTTTCTAATTATTTCCCTAGTTACAACGAGTGGGTTGTAATAGGCATAATTAGGCACCTCAAGTGGCGCCCTATAATCAAATTTCTTGAGGTGTTTTCTGTTTAATTTTATTTTGTTTATCCCAAAAGCCCTTTATTTCTTTTTGTTGTAGTTGCCCCATTCTAACCCCCATTTTACTTATCCACGACCCCTGCTCTCCTACGAAACCCTGAGTGTCCGTTCGCACAAGTAACGTATATTTTGCTTGCCTTATCTCAACCCCTTTAGTTTCTTCCGCCAATTTTCTACCCCCTTGTATTAATGGCCCCTGTGGTAGGCAAAATATTATCGTTACAACATTGAAGTGACCAATTTGGTGAAATTTAATGTTTTTCTTGTTATTACTGGTATTCAACCAATCAATTAGTTCAATCTAAAATTATGTTTAAAGTTTTTAATTAGATAAAAAAAATACAGTGTTATGAAGAAAAAAAATTACCTTTCAAATGGTGTGCCACGTGACCACACTTGATAAATTTAAGGGCATGAATGTTGCATGAAGTTGCGTGTTTTCTTAAATTTTGAAGAAACTCTTGGTTTCTGGAAGGAATATATATATATATATATATATATATATATATATAAATATATATATATATATATATATATATATATATATATATATATATATATATATATATATATATATATATATATATATATATATATATATATATATATTACCTTTATTAAAATAATTTACTTAATTGCTAATATGTTCCCAGCCTGCAATTATTTAATAATGGTTTTTCTCCTAAGCGTTTTGGTTGAATAGCGAATTGACTTCTTTTACCTTTAAGTAGGTCAAGTTCGATTTAATGATGTACTTATATTTTGCACCAGTACGATAACCTCTTGTAAATGTAACTTGATAACCTCTTTACCGATGAACATATCGCACACATATTGTTTTGTTTGTATCGATTATGTCGCGGTTTTCTTCACGTGGTAATTGATGACGAAAATATATGATAGTCCAGGTTTGGTAGCATTAGAATAGGAAAGTAAGCAGTGTTTGTTAATTTATTGTAAGTAATTGTTATTAATTATTTGTTAACTTTTTAAACTATAGTAAAAAGATAAAAAACAATTCTTTCTAATGTATTGTTTTTCTTTTAATATTATTTATTTATCATCTTATATTATTTTCTTAAGATTTGCTGCCACGATACACTTAACTAAAGATGATATTGATGATGTTGCGCATTTGTGGGCTTGTTCTATTTGGCGCGACTACGTCACGCTAAGAGTTGTTTTAAACGTTAGCGTCTGTTGTGTACTGTGGACCCACTGTAGACGTACTTTGTCGTTCTTAAAATCGTGATATTTGTGTTTACTTAAGCTTTTGTGACTTTATTTTTTATTAAAATGAGGTTTTATTAAAATTGAGTTTTGTCCTTGAATAAGAGTTACAAAATCTGCCAGTTTATAGCTCTAGGTTAAAAATTTTATTGAGATGTTAAAATTTAAGAAATCACTTTTATTGTAAAATTGAAACCAGTAGGTAACATGTGTTTCTAGAAGTTTGAATTGTGATTTGAAACCGCCAAAAATAAACAACTCTTCAACTAAGATACTTGGATTAAAACCCATCTTAACAAAAAACGACGTAATACAACACCAATTCACAGCTAATAATGAAACCTTAAAAATATTCGACAAAATTACATATCTTGGATGCAGCCTAAATAAGGAATGGGACCACTCACAGGAAATAAGATGTAAAAAAAATCGAGAGCTGTCTTTAAGATTTTATGTAATATGCACCTGAACATTGATATAAGAACACGAGTCTTGAGATACTATGTATTTTCTACCCTTTTATATGGAGTTGAAGACTGGACCTTGACGGAGGCAACATCCAAACGATTAGAAGCCTTCGAGATGTGGTGCTACCGCCGCATGCTCAGAATTTCCTATATCCATCATGTTACAAACAACACCAAAAGAAGAATATTACAAAGAAAACCAAAGTTTATAATTCAATTTTTTTATATGAGAATATTCTTTAATAGGTACTCACGTACCTATTAACGACACGAAGTCAATTAATAATAATTCGATGTATTTTGTTTTCCCAGGCAGTTTATTTAATTCTTGTGATGTAAAAATAGGATCTTATATATCTAAAAATAGGATTTCGAAATATATGACCCAGATAAGCAGTTTTTTCTTTTTATTATTGGTAGCAATTCTCGTTCTCTTCTCATTGCTGCTGTTGCTTAGCAAGGTTCTCATATTAGTAAATGCTGTTCTGGCTTGCTCAATCCTGCTACGTATCTCTATCTCTGAATCTAGATCTTCAGTTATCCAACTACCAAGACATCTGAACTTAGGGACCTTTTGGATGTTCCTATTGTTTACTCTTATATTTAATTTTATATTTCGTGTTATACTAACCACCATTACCTTCGTCTTGTTTATATTATTCTTTAAGCCCAGTCGTTTTCCTTCAGTGTTTATTCTATATATTAGTCGTTGTAGCTCTTCTTGGCTCTCAGCTGTTATGACTGTATCCTCATCATAGCGAAGATTACTAATAGTCTGTCCGTTGATTTCTCTATCTTCTTTCTGATTCTTAGATAAACAGAAAAAACCAAGAGGAGGTTCTTCTTGTAAATATTAGGGGATCTTCTTTCTTCCACATTCATATCTTGATGTTTTCAAGATTCCTACAACGATTTTTATTGATATGTTTAATTCAAATATTTTAATTGTTATGCAAATATTTACCAGGTTCTTTCTGGTGGTGAGCTTTAGCATTAAGTAAGCTTTAATATAAGTACTGTAACTACTAGGTGGGGCATTTTACGAACCATTTAATTTAAAACAAAATATCGTACATTTGGAAAATGCCCTTGTTATATCAGTGTTGATTTCATTTACAAATATATGTACACAGCAGCCATACATTTTTGTTAAAAAAAATTTGGACAGCATTTATTAGTTTTTTGTTAGCACAGTTCAAAGTAATATTATATATTGTTAAAATATTTAAATTTGTAATTCCCTACCTAAATTTAGTTTGTAAAATAAATAAATGTTAATTACTACAAAATATAAAGATATTGTAAATATTTTTGTAAACAAAACGGATACTACTGTCTGAGTTATTTATATTTTTTTATTATTAGGTACATGCATATTTTATGTAAAATACTGCATATTTAGGCCCATATTTTATGTTTTATTAGTATATTTGCCTTAATAATAAGTCTAGGAATATACCTTTTAGTTTTGTTTATTGAGTTTAATGCGTCGACAACTAATGGTCACTGGCATGATACAGTGAATTTTTAGTCAGGTACCTAGTGTAGGTGTAGAGTAATTGTCTTGATACTTAGCAAAATCGACGTCATTGTCTTTGATAAGAGACGCTAATTGTATCCGAACGTCTGCGGTCCCTCCGGTGAGTACTGATCGCACAAGGATAGAAATTATTTTCATTTATTAATTTTTAATAAACGAATATTTCTCCACCCAGGTGAGATTCTAACTCACGACCTTTACGTTCAATGGTAGGCGCTCTTATCACTGAGTTTACCTTTTAGTTATACAAATAACTAAAAGGGGGTTTACCTTTTAGTTATACAAACGCTTAATCGAAAACCACATATTTAGTTCTGGTAGTTCGCTCTATTCAAAGCTAACTTAATATTTACAATAACGGTTGAACATATTTTGTGATTACTTTAGTTTTTGAGTTATTTATACAAATTTATGTGGTCTTCTGCTTCTGAATAAGTTTTTTAATTTTAATTTGTAGGCATTTATTTTGAAATTCCTTGGACAAAAAGTTGTATTTGCATGTAAAGTCCTTTTGTGTAGAGTTTATAATTTGAATAAAATAAGAAAAACTGGTCTATATTTATATTGGTTTCTTTATTTCCCGCTTGCCATTACTCTGAACGTTCTGACAACTCGTTCACGGGAGCATTCGGGACTGGTTTGCTGTATTCATACAAATAAGCTACACTGTCAAATTTTTAATTATTCCTATTATTGTCATTAATATTGTATTTCTATATGATTCTATCATAGCTTATTTATTTAGGGAAAATTTTTTCCTTTTGCTTAGTGTTTGGCTTGAAGTTAAATATTTCAATAGATTACCATGACCAAAAGCTAAGACACAACAATATACAAAATTATTATATCCCATTAATACATTAAAAGGTAGATAATTGTGCACATGGTGGTATAACCATCTAAGATATTATCTTATATGTTTCTAAATGCTCATTTTGTTTTAATGTTTTATGGTAAAGTAAATTTCTTTCTTCCCCTCTTATGAGCAAGAAAATATTGGTTTGAGTTCTGTTTAACAACCTAATGTTTATTTAATATGTAGCTTATTCTTCTTCTTTAGTTTATTGGCCTCCACCTGCTTGGATATTTGCCCAGCTTATTGTCGTGGAATGAGCTTCCTTATTCCTAAAGTTTGGTGTTAATGTAGGACAAATTGAACAGTGGGAAAAGCTTTTCTCGCCCAGGGGCAACTGTTGAACATTACACAATCTCCAAATATTGCCTCGGATAAGTATAGTGAAAAATCCAGGTGATTGTAGAATGTTTATTCAGAAAAAAAATGGTTTTGTTGTTTCTTTACCTAGATTTGACGTATCTACGTAATTTTTAACATATTATTCAAATTATTTATTATTGTATATTTATTCATTTTAACCATTCATTTAATATTTACTTTTCCTCATAACTTTATCTTCTGAATATTCAAGAAATACATTAAGAATTTAATAACAACCAACTTCGGGTTACAAAGAAGGGTTGTAACAGATATACGTGTTGGACACCTATTTTTAGCCAGTTCAATATGTAAATAAACATTTTGCACAGTGTTAATAGGACATTCAAGAATCATATGTTGTGATTCTGCTAACTGATCACATTCACACTTAGCCCTATTTTGAATAGGTGATTTTTAATTAAACAGTGACCTGTACGCATTCTAATGATAGTTTTTATATGCCTTCTATCTATGTAGGGAAAACAGGTTGTAGCTGTATATACCAAATACCTTAAGTACCAAAGATTCGTTCCACTCTTATTTTGGTGACAGCGATCTACTTTCGCAAGTGAATTTTTAATACCTCAGAATGCACTGGGACCCAAACAATGATAATATCTAAATTAATATTTTTTTTTTTATTTACAATTTGCTTCAACCACAAAAGGGTTATTAGCAATGAACAGTATTGATATCAAATTACAAAGCTTATATTAAATTTGGTTAATGAGTCCTATAGTACGTAAAAAATTGAGAGTCTTAGATGAATTATTTTCACTTAAACAATCTTTAAATGTAGTTGGTAACTGTTGATGTTGTCGTTCTATAACATAGAGGGGACAGTCTATTATTATATGTTGCACTGTTAGTTCACTATCACACACATAACACATTGGAGGGGCTTCCTTCTTTAATATAAAGTCATGGGTGATCTTCGTATGACCAAGTCGTAATCTGGACATGAGCACTTGGTCTCTTCTCTTAGTAGGATGTTTCGACGGCAATACATTTTGTTTGATTTTTCTTAATGTAGAGTTTGATTTATTCCAATTTGTTTGCCATTTTGTCATGATCTTGTTCTTAAAATATTGCTTTAGATCAGTATGAACGCAAGTAGTTATGATGTCTGTTAATGGATACTCACTCGCATTTTTTGCTAATATGTCAGCTTTATCGTTTCCAGTTATCTCAAAATGTGAAGGTGCCCAGAGGAACTGAACTAATCTTTGATTTTGTTGGCATATCAAGAGTTCCGACTTAATTAAAAGCAGGACAGGATGTTTGGGGTATATTTGCTTTAAGGCTGTTAATGCACTTAGGGAGTCGCTAATGATTATTGAGAATTTAATGTCATGTGTGTTAACAAATTTTAATGACTGGAGGATAGCAAAGAGTTCAGCTGAAAATATGGAAGTTTGGGGAGGGAGCTGGTAGGAACTGTTATAGTTATCTGTTGTGAAAGCCGCTCCTACTCCATTTGCAGATCTGGATGCATCGGTATAA